TCCACTGTCCCTCCTCAGCCCCTCCAAATCCTGCCAAAATGGCAAAATTCATTAAAATTTTAAATAGTTCAGATGTGTTTGATCCAGCAATTGCCCTTCTGGAAATGTGCCCCATTGAAATACAAAAGACCTCAAATTGTGTTTATTGGAGCACTTTCTGTAATAAACTGGAAACAAGCCTCAAGCCCATCGATAGCGGAATTAAGTCATAATTCACATTTATAGAGTGCCTGCTGCCTGCCAGTTACAGCTCCAAAGCTCTACAGCTATGGCCCTTGGTCCTCCCAACAATGGCATGGCGTTAGGTGATGGAATTTTCACTTTACGGATGAGGAAACTAAGGCCCAGGCAGGCCAAGGGATTTATCCAGGTCCTGCAGCTCGTGGTGGCAGAACGAGGGCTGAGCCCAGGCAGCCGGGCTCAGAGCCTCAGCTACCCTTGGGGCACTGTGGACGAGCACAGGAAGGCAGTGGGTCCCCAGGTACCCAGGTGGCAAGGTTACCGAGACTCATTGCTAGGGAAAGGAAGCAAATCACAGAGTTATTTTTTAAAAGTTAGTGTTTGCCCAAGTCCCACTGCAGGGCGGGCCCAGGCCTGGCTTCTGGGACTCTCATTTCTGTACTGGCTTCATCTCCTCCATTTGGAGTAGTTTTTTTTTTTTAAAAAAGATGACTGGTAAGGGGACCTTAACCCTTGACTTGGTGTTGTCAGCACCACGCTCTCCCAAGTGAGCCACGGCCTGGCCCTTGGAGTTGTTTTTTATAACGTGTAGTTAAAGTACAAATGCACTTTAGAATGTGTCCAGCCCTTCCATGGACCTCAGGCAGAAAGCCTGGCTGCCCCAGCCCTGGGTTTGTGCAATGTCTGTCTGCCCCTGGGGGACAGCCCTGGCCTTCCTCGCGTGGCTGGTCACACACGGCAGGGCTCTGGTGCTGCTGAAGGAGGCCAAAGCCAGCCTGTATGCCAATATCAGTGACCCTGGCCTGTCAGTGGGGGTGGCCCTAAGGTGACCCCAGTGGGTACCCCCGAACTCCACCTCTGTCATCCATGCAAGACCGGAGGTCCATCACCTGTTGAAAAAATCAAGACTCAGAGAGGTCACACCACTGGCCCAAGGTCACACAGCTGGGAGAGGCAGAGCCCTGAGGCAAGGCCCCTGCCTACCCAGCTGGCAGGTGACCTCTTTGCCCCTTCCTGTGTCAGGTCAGGCCAAGGGTGGGGAGGTGACCCTACACTGGGTCAGGACAGCTGGGCGGGGAGGTGGGAGGAAAGGGCATTTGGAGGTGATGGGGACCCTCAGTGCCCGCGCCCTCCAGCTGCCCCATGGACAATGGGCACTTCCACAGTCTGTCCGTGCTGGGCAGGGTACAAGCAGCTCCGTTCTTGGTTCTGTTCTTTTGCTACTTTTTGTTATGGACTGGAGCAAACGCCATAAGCCCTCATGCAGACTGAAGGTTTTGTCCTGCTAGCCTCTCACTCTCCCTCCCTGCAGTCCTCCTCTTTTCCCTCTTTTCCTTTTTTTGGCAGCTGGCCAGTGCAAGGATCGAACCCTGGACCTTGGTGTTATCGGCTGCATTGTTTTAGTCAACTCCAGACTTCAGGCCATTTTGCCACCATGTCCTTCTGTTTGCATGTCTAAAAAATATGGACATTTTCTTACAGAACTTTGATGTTATTGCGCTGAAAAAGAATAACAAGGATTGTGTAAAGTCACCGAGTGCCATCAGCTTTCTCCAAGTGAGGAGACCCGAGAGGGCAGCACCTCTGGGTGCATCACCCTCAGAAAGAGAAGGTGTTGGTGGAAAAGATGGATAGGCTGATGGGTGGCTGGGCAGGTGGGTGACACCACCTTGAGGAGTCCCCTCGATCTTTAGGGCCCAGCACAGTGTGGGTGCAGAGGGTGTTGACTGGTTAATAGTCTGTCCTGCGCCCTGCAATCCTGCCTCATCCCTTCCTTGTGGGTCCCCTACCAGGCTATCTATCCATCCCTTCATCCACCCATCCATCCACCTGTCCATGCATCTGTCTGTCCATCCCTCCCTATCTTTCCATCTATCTGCGCATCCCTTCATCCCTCCGTTCACCCGTCCATCTGTCCATCCGTCCATCTGCCTATGCATCCCTCCATCCTTCTGTCACTCCATCCATCTGTCCATCTGTCCATTGACTCATTTTCTCACCCATTTATTCTCCTTAGCTTCCCCAGAGTGCCCACCCTGTGCTGGGTGACAAATCCAGCATGACCCTGGCTGCCAGAGGCTCACAGCGGAGTGGAGAAATGTTCAGACCTGCAAACAGCAGCCTGAACAGTGAGGTGTCATGTTTTCTATTTCTGTCATGGAAAAGGGGTCAAGTTTGGGCATGTTTGTTCAGGAGACAAAGGGCAGGTGAAACTTAGCCGTGTGACTGAGAGAACATATTTATCTCACGTGTCACCTCCTGGGCTGCCCCAACCCTCCCCACCCCTGCCCCACTACTCCCCACCCCATTTCTACTTCACTTTTCTCCTTGGTACTTACCGCCATCTGACATGCTCTGTATTTTAGCTATTTGTCTGCTGGTTGTCTGCCTCTCTCCTTCCCCAGAAAATAAGACCCAGCAGGTCGGGGACTTCTGTCTGTTGCTCTACTTCACTTTTCTCCTTGGTACTTACCGCCATCTGACATGCTCTGTATTTTAGCTATTTGTCTGCCTCTCTCCTTCCCCAGAAAATAAGACCCAGCAGGTCGGGGACTTCTGTCTGTTGTGTTATTGCTGGGTCCCGGTGCCTGAAACTTGGCATGGGCAGGTACGCAGTGTTTGCTGCATGTGTGGAGGGCAGGGGCTGGGGTGGGCTGTCGTCCAGGAGCTGATGCTGCAGCTGCGGGCTATGCAGGCGAGTGGATCTGAACGTGAATTTGAGAGAGTTGATACGCAGGACTGGGTGTAGGGTAGAGGGAGAAAGGTGTCCAGGGCAACTCCTGGGCTTCTGGCTCAGGTGCCAGGGGTGGGTGGCACTTAACTGCATTGGACACTCTGCAGGAAATGTGGGACTAAATGGGTCCCCGTCCTTTCAGTTAGATGACATGCTTCAAGCTCCCTCATTGTCCGAGGTACAGGCTTCTCGAGTTTAGAATCTGCAGTGAATCCTGAGTCCCAGCTGCATTTGACCTTCCCAGAACAGACTGTCACCTCCATCCTTCTAGACTGTGCTTCTATTAATGCAGCTTTAGCATTTGGCTGGCCACTCCCACACAGACATGTCCAGAGCTTGTCCTGAGTGTTCTTAGACATGAGGCAGTTGCTATTCCCATTTTGTGGATGCAGAAGTGGAGGCACAGAGAGGTCAAGGGGCTTGCCCGAGGTCTCACAGCCATGAGTGGCAGAGCTGGGATTTGAATGCAGACAGCCTGGCTCCTGCCCAGATGTTGAGCTTGTCTCTCTAAAGGCCAGGAAGGGCATCAGGATGGCCTTGGACAGACCACTTCATGCCCTTTGCCTTCTGCTGTGGCAGCTGGCACTGCCCACCCTGTGTCCCTCCACTTACCTGAAAACAGAACAGTGCAGGGGGAGACTGCCCCTCTGTCAGCGCTCAGCCTGTTCAAGGCCAGCCTGCAGGTCAGCCCATCAGAGGTCATGAAAACAGATGGACACACAGCTTCCGGCCCCATGGGCCAGCCAGTCAGTGTTGCCTGGACCCCGAGATGTTAACGCCTGTCCCTTTTGCCTGTCCCGCCAGCTTTCTGGTCAACAAATTGTTGTGTTGCTCAGCAGCTGTGTGACCCTGGCAAGTGCACTGCCTCCCTGAGCCTCAGTGTCCCCTGTGGTCACCTCACAGGGTTGCAGTGTGGGTCACATGGGGGTGTGTGCTGAGTCCCTGTACACTAAAACAAGACTCACTTCCTGAGGGCCTCCCTGTACCACCCAGGACATCAGAGAGGGTGGGTTGTAAGAAAGTGTCTGCAGATTGAATCCAGCCCTGCTGTCTGCATGGCCTTGAACAAGACCCCTTGCTGGGTCTCAGTGGCCCCATCTATAAACAGGGACCATGAATGCTGCCCTGCCTCCCTCCTGGGGCTGCAAGGAAGATCCCATGATGCGGTGAATGAAGAGAGCTTGGTAAACTGTACAGTGGGGTACACGTGTGAGGGGGTCACTAGTTTTACAATTACTGCAGACAGAAGCAGCCTCTTAGTGGAGTGGCTCCCCTTCAGGACTTCCCTGGCCAGCCTGGCTAGAGGCTGCATTGGCAGCCCCATCCCCAGTTGAGGCTGGGCACCGGGGCCTCGGAGTCAGAGACCCACTCGGATGGAACGCATGACAGTGAGGGACCAGGGCAGTGGGATGATGGGGAGCAGATGGAGGTGCTGCTCCTGGGTGGGCTGTCACCCCCTACTCCTTCCCTCCCTACCAGCTGGAGCTCCTTGAGGACAGGGACTGCCTCTTATTTGCCTGGGTGTAGCCTCAGCCCAGAGAGTGTTCGTTGAATGAATAAGTGGGGGCGCTTGGATGGTTCCCTGGGCAGGAATCCTGAGCAGATCCAGGGGAGGCCCCGAGGACACGGAGAAGGCCTGAGGAGGGGTGGAAGCGGTCACAGATCCATCTCCGGACCTCCTTGAGGAGGGGTGGAAGCGGTCACAGATCCATCTCCGGACCTCCTCAGGAGGTGTCTGGATGTGGCTGGGGCCCAGCCCTGTGGTGGTGGGGACAGTGATTCTGCCTCCTGGGGCCTGGCACCTCCTGTGACCTCTCACACACTTTCCTGACACCTGGATCTCCAGGGCACTGGGATAAGGGTACTTGGGGGCTGGGTGGGAAGGTGTCCAGCTGTGTGGCACGTGGGTATGGACATCGATCGCCTGCTTCCCAGCACAGCTTTGGCCCTGCCTTTGGGCCACTGGTCAGGAGGTATTTAAGCTCTGAGAAGAGTGGACTGGGAGCTGCTGAGGTCACCCCAGTGGTGGCACCAGGTCCCTCTCAGGCAGGCAGGCCTAGGGCCTTCCCTCTCGTCCACATTGTCCATGGATTTTGTGGCTGGAGCCATTGGAGGTAACAGACAGGGATGGTGGGCTGTGTAGGGGACTGCACCAGGAGGAGTGGGGGAAGGGCACAGTGTTCTGCCCGGGGGGGTCTGGTGGGGGTGGGGGTTAGCCTTCCAGCAGCAGTGGGGTTTGAGGAGCTCCCCCAGGAGTGGCCAGGACCTGATGTGGACTGTAGGTGCCGGGAGGAGAGAGCAGGTTCCTGGAGACTTGGGGTGGGCGAGGCAGCCAGGGAGGTTCTGGTAGGAGTTAGGGGAGTCTGTGCTGGCTTGGGGGCTAAGACAGGAGGCTGAGAGCAGGCTGGGGACGGGGCTGGAGTCCAGACATGGGGGCCACTTGGGACACAGAGGGTCATTGCCATCTGGGCCAGGGGGAGACTGGGAGTCCTTGGTGTGGGGAGGGATGAGAGGCCCCAGGAGAAGCTGGATAGTGAGGGGAGACAGGGCCTGGGTCCTGTGGCGGGGACTGGAAGGCTGAGCCCCGGCCCTGCCTGTCCTGCTGGCTGATTTGCCTGATTTGCCTGTCCTGTTTGCCTTGCTGGGCCTCTGTGGCCTGCTTCTGGGGCCAAACTTTCTGCTGGTTCAAACTGTTTTTCCTGGGCCGAGCCCGTGGCGCACTTGGGAGAGTGCGGCGCTGGGAGCGCAGCAGCGCTCCCGCCACGGGTTCGGATCCTATATAGGGATGACCGGTGCGCTCACAGCGCTCACTGGCTGAGCGGTCCTTGAGGAACTCTAGTTCTGGAGGTGGGGATGGCACGCATAGGACAGCAGCCAGGCCACAGGATAAGGGTTCTGGTCAACATGTTTCTAGGCACAGAGATAGTCCAGAGTACAGAGGTAAGAGAGGGCTCCAGAGAGGAGGCGATGCTGTGGGAGGGCTTTGATGGATGAGTAGGAGTCTGGTGAGCTGTAGGTGAGGGTCAGGGAGGGTAGTTCTACCCAAGCCACTCAGTCAGTCCATTGCTTTACGCCATTCGTTCATTCATTCACTTCATTCTCTCATTCATGCATATTTATTGAGTCCTGGGATACATAATAAGAGGACACAGGGTGTGAAACCGCGGGGACTGGCCTGTTCCCTTTGGCTTCCCTATGGCAATCTGGGAGTTTGGACATTGAGGCCCTGGTGTCAGGAAAGGAGAAAGGAACAGGATGGTGGCACCTGGCCCCCTTGGCAGAGGGCGGGGGCCCTGGTCCGAGCCTGGGCTTGGCACCTGAGGACTCTCTGCAAGGCATAGGCTCGTGTCCCACTTTGTTCCATGCACACTTGTGGTTCCAGGCAATCCTGGCTCTTCACAGAGCCCATGTGAGCCCGGGCTTCCCACCTCCCAGCCTTTGCTCAGGCTATACCTACCCTCCTGCCACCCACCTCAGCTGAAATGCTAGTGACCTTCCTGCTCACAGGCAAACCCTTCCCACATTGAGGGCTCCTGGGCAAGGTCTGCCTGGCTCAGAGGCAGGACCCAGCAGGGGGTGGGCTGGAAGTTCTCCCCAAACATGACACCAGTGGGGAGGCTGAGGAACGTCCTTGGTAGGAGGCAAGGCAGATGAGGCACTGCTGGGCCAAGACTCAGGGAAGGAGAAACCACTAGCAAGATTGGCAGAACTTGCTCGGAGCCTCAGTTTGCTCATCTGCAAAACAGGGGTCGCTCTCAGGATTAAGGAAACCTGGTGCGGAAAAGCCAGATGTGGGGGTCTGTTCTCAAGGTTCTCAGTCAGGGATCACCCGTCTCCTCCTTCTGTCAAATGGGCTCAGACTGCTGCCAGCCCTTCACCCGCTCTCCTCACCAGGTGCCTCTGATTCCCTTCCAGGCATCAGCGGCGTTGCTGTGGGCTACCCTCTGGACACGGTGAAGGTGCGGCTACAGCCAGGCACCCCTTCCACCCAGCCCAAGGCCCCTGCCTGGGCTCTGGCCACCCCTAGTGTCTCCTGCACCCCATCCATGGCCAGAAACCCTTTCTAGAATGCTAATTAGACCCAGTCCTCTCATGCTCAAGTGCCTGCAGTGGCTCTGCATGGTCCCTGGGACTATGTCAGTCCCTCTTTCTCACCCCTGTGCCTCAGATTCTCCTCTTAAATGTGGCTCACTGTCCCTGCTCCCACAAAGCAGCAGAACTGTGGCAATCAAATGGATGACTCTGTCCCCTCCCCAGGGTGTGCTGACCTTGCCCTAGGCCTGGAGCCACCCCTCCCTGAAGCCCAGTTCTCCCCCAGGTCAAGATCCAGACGGAACCGAAGTACACAAGCATCTGGCACTGTGTCCGGGACACATATCGCCAAGAGCGGGTAAGCCTGGGGCCAGGGGATGGGCAGGGGGATGTTGGGGCCCCAGGCCTGCAACTCATGGACCAGCCAGGTGATGTTGAACCCCTCTCTGGGCCTCAGCTCTCTCTCCTTCCAATTGGGAATAATTGTGCCAACCTCATGGATTCCTCCTAGGACTAGAGCCAGGCAGCTGGCATGCAGAAGGGGCTCAGAAGGAGGTTCCTGCCTCCAGGAGAGGGTCCACAGGTGGTGCTCAGGACTTTGAAGGTTAGGGGAGGGACCCATGTGTTCCATTCCTGTCCCCTCCAGGCCAGAATGATGTCTGACTCTCAGCTCCCAGAGCAGCCCCTCCTCCTGGCTGGGCCCCTGGCCTGACCTGGGCCCTGTTCACCAGGTGTGGGGCTTCTACAGGGGCCTCTCGCTGCCTGTGTGCACGGTGTCCCTGGTTGAAAGCAGTGCTGGGTGGAGTTTTCAGGTGTCCTTAGGGTTGAGCTCAGAGCCCTGACCAGAGGAAGGGCTTGGGGACATTTACCAAAGTGAACTTGGGGCCCGGTATGGGCCAAGGGTTAGCTCATGAAGAACAGCAATAACAGACCATGCGAGGTCATCACCATCCTCAACATGCAGCTGCCCCTGCTCGGGCCTGACCCTCTGACTCTGCAGTCCCTCACCACAACCTTGCAAACTGAGTGTCATGACCCCATTTTATAGCTGAGGGGACTGAGGCCCTGAGGCAGTAAGTGACTTGCCTGAGGTACTCCAGTGAGGGAGGGCAGAACAAGGACGGGTCTCAGCTTCTGGAGCAGCCCCTCCTCCTGGCTGGGCCCCTGGCCTGACCTGGGCCCTGTTCACCAGGTGTGGGGCTTCTACAGGGGCCTCTCGCTGCCTGTGTGCACGGTGTCCCTGGTTTCATCCGTGTCTTTTGGCACCTATCACCACTGCCTTGCGCACATCTGCCGGTTCCGGTACGGCAGCTCCGAGGCCAAGCCCGCCAAGGCCGACATCACGCTCGCAGGATATGCCTCTGGCCTTGTCCGCGTGAGTGGGTGTGGGTGAGGACCGAGCTCTGGGGGCGGCAGGGCTGGGGGGCCTTGGAGAGACTGAGGGGGTCTGGGGAGTCACCCCCAGCAGGCGGGGAAACCAAGGCTCAGTGAGGGCAGAGACTGGATGCAGGCCGTACATGGAGCCGTAGACAGTGGGTGAGGAGCCAGTGTCCTGCCAGGTTGGGAGCCTGAGCCATCCTGCAGCTTCTCAGAGCCCAGGCTCCCTGACGTTGCCATGAGCAACATGAGGCCATGGGAGGCCAGGGCCAAGGGTGTGGGGCAGAGCTGCAAGCACCATCTCATCCCTGCCTCCTTTCCTACCCCAGGTGTTCCTGACATCACCTACTGAGGTGGCCAAGGTCCGCCTACAGACACAGAAGCAGGCACAGCAGCGGCGACCCTCAGCCTCGTGGCCCTCAGCTGCACCCTCACTGTGTCCTGTGCCCCCAGCAAGTCTGGTGCCTGGACCCAAGTACCATGGGCCATTGCACTGCCTGGCCACAGTGGCCCATGAGGAGGGGCTGCGGGGCCTCTACAAGGGCAGCTCGGCGCTGCTTCTCCGGGATGGCCACTCCTTTGCCACCTACTTCCTCTCCTACGCCATCCTCTGTGAGTGGCTCACCCCCACTGGCCACAGCCAGCCAGGTGAGTGGGGGCTGGGGCCTGGGAGGGTGGGGTGTCTGCCCAGCGGGAAGAGGAGGCCTAGGGGAGGTTGTGCGCATGCATGCTGGTGCCGAGTGTGCACTTGAACCCAGGCATCCTGCCTCCTAGGCCAGGATTCTCTGTTCCCTCCACACTAAGAGAGTCAGGACAGACCTACTTCTGTCACAGATCACTGTGTGGCCTTGGACGACCCATGTCCTCCTCTTCTGTGCCTCAGTTTCCCCACTTACAAAATGAAGGATGGGAGCTGGTGGTTATCTCAGTCGGTTAGAGTGTGGTGCTGATAACACCAAGGTGCAGGGTTCAATTCCTGTGCTGGCCAGCCATGAAAATTAATAAATAAAAATTAAAAAATTGAATGTGCCTCAGTTTCCCCACTTACAAAATGAAGGATGGGAGCTGGTGGTTATCTCAGTCGGTTAGAGTGTGGTGCTGATAACACCAAGGTACAGGGTTCAATTCCTGTGCTGGCCAGCCATGAAAATTAATAAATAAAAATTAAAAAATTGAAAAATGTGGATGGGCCGGTAGAGTGAGCCCAGGGCTCATTGCAGCCCGGCCCTTGGGCTGGTGCCCCCATCGGGCTTCACATCAAGGCACTTGTGGTCTCTCCCCCAGATTTCTTGGGCGTACTGTTGGCTGGAGGCTGTGCAGGGGTCCTGGCCTGGGCCGTGGCCACTCCCATGGACGTGATCAAGTCCCGCCTACAGGCAGACGGGCAAGGCCAGCTGCACTACCGGGGCCTCCTGCACTGCATGGTGACCAGTGTGCGGGAGGAGGGGCCGAGGGTCCTCTTCAAGGGGCTGGTAGTCAACTGCTGCCGTGCCTTCCCTGTCAACATGGTGGTCTTTGTCGCCTATGAGGCCGTGCTGAGGCTCACCCAGGGTCTGCTCATATAGCTGGTCCTGATTCCCCAGGGGCCAACCTGCTGGCAGCTTCCAGAGGTCACAGTTGCTGGAGGTGGCAAAGGGGAGTGTTGTTGGGGTTGGAACCCCAAAGGCATTCCCCAGGACAGCTGGGGAGCCTCCCTGAAGCCAATCGGCAAGGCCTGAGCATAGCCTGCCCAGCTACCGGCTACAAGAAGGTCAAGGGCTGTTCTGCCACCAGCCCAGGGTTGGCCTGAGGGCACAAGAGCCAGGGAGGAGTAGGCCTCCTTGCTGAGGGCACCTGTCACATGGAGTTGTTAGTCATGTCACTTCTTTACTCCAGCTTCTTTATCGTGCCTCCCCCCACCCCCCTCGCCGTGTCTTCAGAGTTCCCCTGCATTGACCCGACTGTGCGCCCAGCCACCCTCCCACGTCCCTACCGCTCAGCCCTGCACTGCTGTTCAGTGTGCTTTTCACAAACTGTCCCCTCGGGGGCAGGCTCAGCTGGTCTCCCTCCCACAGACAGGGCTTGAGGCAGCGAGGCAGCTCTGGCTCAGCACCCACCTCTGGCTCCAACCAAGCTCGTCCCCTGCACCAGCTGCTCTGAGAGGGCACTGCCGGGACAGCTGTGCTCACCTGGGCTTTGGCTCTGGCAGGGGCCTGGGTCACCATCTGCGCCTGGGTGGGGAACATGGTGCGAGGTTCACTCACATACCCTCACTCTGCCTATGGAGGCGGTGCCTGCCATATGAGGACCCTGAAGACTCAGGTGGGAGCTGTTGTGAATAAAATGTTTCTGAGGGTGTTCGGTGGTGTTGCTTCATGGTCTGTGGGGCTGCTGACCTGTTTCCCCACCTCCAGCTTATCTCTATATGTGGGAGGTGTGGGGACACGGACAAGTCCTCCAAACCGGTGTGGCCAGAGC